TAGGGCATAGTAAGCACAATCATGAAATGCGTATGGGAGGCTCAAGGAGCTATGCATCCAGGATCCCAGGTGTCGGTCTGAGGAGCGGGGGGTTTATGGGTTTAATGTAGAGGCCGTAATAATTAGAATAGGGTTGGGGGGTATATTCTACTTCAGTTATACTAAGCAAGCCCCAAAATAGTATAGGTAATTCTTTAGGTTCCTATATGAGGGCTTCCGAAAACAGGGGACCCTAATACAGTACCCTAAATAGTAGGATCCTTATTATAAGGACGCCTAAATAAGGTACCCCTAATTTTCGGAAACTCCCATATTAGGGTTTAGGGTTTAGGGTTTTATGGCTGGTGGAGGGAACGCAGGGTCTTTGAAGGTCTGGGGTTGAAGTTGTCTTTCGGGAGAAAGGGTTGAGGGAGACTTAAAGGGCTTAGGGCTGAGGATGCATTTTGGGGCTTTGGGTTTAGGGCCTAGGGTTTCGGGTTTAGGGTTTAGGGCTTAGCGTTTCGGGTTTAGGGTTCAGGGTTTTTTTTTGGCGGCTCGTTTCCTACCCGTTAGAGCCAGAACGGCATGTCGGCTGAACCTTCGTTCGGGACTGAAGGCCAACTCACCAATGCACATCAACACAGCTACAACAACAGGGATTCAGGATTTCGGGATGAGGGTCTAGGGTTTAGGGTTTAGGGTTGTTTTTGAGGGTTTAGGGTTTTGGTTCTGAGGGTTTTGGGTTTAGGGTTTTGCTTTGAGGGTTTAGGGTTTAGGTTGTTTTTGAGGGTTTAGGGTTTAGGTTTTGTTGTTGAGGGTTTAGCGTTTAGGGTTCCTTTTTGAGGGTTTAGGGTTTGAGGTTTAGGGTCCAAGGTCTAGGATCAATCCCTTGTTACACTTTGGGCTTGCTCTGGAAGTAAGAACTGCTCAGGTTCTGCTCTCACGTTGCATAGTAGATCCTGTGGTTGCGGAGCGGCACCACCTATCTGAGCTGCCGGTAGGGTTTACGGTTTAGGGTTTAGGGTTTAGGGGGTGCGCCTGAAAGTAGGTGGATTTGGGTCTCAGATTCTAGAGAACAACCTTCAGCCCTAAACCCTAAACCTTAAACCCCCAAAAGGCCTCACAAGCCGGACAACTCAAACTGATTCGGAACAAAGCCCTCAGGACCATGAACCCAAAATCGAAATCTCTGATAGCCTTGCACCAATAATGCAGGTCGAGCGTCATCTTGCTGATGCATCGTCCGCATCAAGTTGTACTTGATGAAGCGGGGTGCCTTTGCTGGCTTCGCGTTTTGCTTTTTGGGCAAATTGGCTCTTCAGCTTTTCAGCGCGGTTGTCGCTTAAGTGCTTTGCACAAGAGGCTCTTGCATCCAGGGCAGTGGCGAGTCTAGGGCCCCCAAACCCTAAACCCTAAACCGATTCAGAAACGAATGACGGAATCATGCGAAGATGGGACTTCTATCTGAGGCTACCAGATACAATCAACATGCGAGCCTGAAGCCATGCCAACTCACTGCCGTTTCAAGTCCAGCAAAACAGATTCGAATTCAGATGTGTAATGTAGGAGGCCTTCCTTAATGCTTAGAACAGGGTTTTAGGACATATTATACTGGGATTGCAATGGGGACTGTATTGACTACAACGGGATGCCATTACTAATTATTGCGACCCCCTGTAGGTGACCAGCGCGCCGGGGTGAACGGAAAAAGGCTTCGAGCGTTCGGGACAGATGCCTTCGGATGCCTTGGCCTCGGACATTTGGGTTCTGAGGGCCCTGTCTGCCCCCTAAACATGGAAACACCTACTAGAGGGGCCTAAATAATTACCTATACTCTATTTTGGGGGTTCATTATTATATTTATAGTATAATATACCCCAAACCCTATTCTACTTATTGTGGCCCCTATATTGCTTCGTTTGATAACTGAAGGCAAACATGTTTTAGGATGAGAGACTGAATTCCTCGAACCTCAGGTGTGATTCTCCCGGAGTTCTCCCCTGGCAGCTTCAAGACGAAGGCCAAGTGTTCGTGCTCAGACGCGGGGCCCCACCGAAAGCCGCAAGAGTGGCGACAGCCGAAGCTTTGCGAACCCTGCTCGCAAAACGCTTCAGGCCGAAACCCTAAACCCTCAACCCTAAACCTAAACCCTGAACCCCTAAATCCCTAAACCCCTAAACCCCTAAACCCCTTAACCCTATAAACCCTACAATCTAAACCCTCTTTGGAGCTTACCTCTTGACCCGGAAGCCTTACACCCCAAGCCCTGAATGCCTACGTCCTCCTAAACCTAACCTTTAACCCCGAAAGCCTAAATCTTACTGTCACAACTTGTAGTAGAAACAGCTTGATGAGAATAATAACAAGAATAGTAAAACTTATATATATATATATATATTGTATGTATATATATATATATATATATATATGTATGTATGTATGTATATATATATATATACGTGTACAAACACATGTAAAGTCTTATCATGTGTATAGTGTATACAAACATAACATATGATGT